GGCTCTAAGGTCTTGCCTAGCGTAGATAACCACACCCCTCCTGCAGGATTCTTGAGTTAGGTTCGTAAATGAGTCATATCCAGCAATACTGAACTCACATTCCTCTGGGTCGATTCTCCTGTTCTTGTACAACAGTTCTACAACTCCTACAATATCTGGTTGGTGTACTCTTAGTAGTGTTTCAAACTCCTCCCTCTTATCAAGGAACGTGTCGGTATTAGTGTACATGACATTCAAGCCAGAATTTGTTCTCGGTAACGTCTCTGCTCTTAGTAATAAACCCGCTCCACCCACATTCTCAGAAGCTGCAGCATTTGCTAAGTACACTGTATTTTGCAGGGTGTGGTTAAAAATTTCATTGTTTACACGGCGCTCGTTCCCTCCTGTCCGGTAGGCTGAGCTGGTGCCGCCTCCCGGGTGGGGGGTTGAGTGGGTGGAGGGTGCACTGCTGCCCCCTGGCCCTGTGTCGGCACACTTGTTTCCACTACCCTCCCCCTGAGTATAACCCATGTGCACCTGTCCCCGTTCCTTCTCGACTCCTCCCTCTTCTGCTTCAAGTCCAGCAGGAGCTTCTTGTGCTGTTCCCTCTGCATTACCGTGCGGTCTGGGTGAATAAATACATCTCGAAATGCCTCGCTCCTTGCTAAGTTTTTTGCCTGCCGGATAACTTGCCATTTTTCCTCCTCACTCCCTAGTGTGATCCTGAGGGGGCGAGGCTTAACCCCCTGCTTTTGTCCCAGTCTCCTCACATCCTGAGGGGTTGCTGGAATCTTCAGAACCTCTGTGCAAATATTTTGAAACAGCACCTTGTCGTGTGTTTCCTTACTCACAGTTCCCTCTGCCTGGCTCTCTGGGACTCCAAAAACTATTACATTGTTCCTGCGCTGGAGCCGTTCCTGGTGTTCCTCCTCTCCCCTAACAGTAGGTCCGTTAATTTTCATTTCTTCGACACACTTTTTCAGAGTCCCAATCTGCTGTAGAACCTGTACTGATTCTGCATTACTCTCCGCCCCCCCCACCCGTGGCCCTCCTAATACGTCCGCATAGCTCCTCTTAGCAACCACCTCCATTCTATTAGCTACTTCCTCAGTCTTAGCAAGGATCTCTTTCTCAACTTGCTCCAGTTTGTCAACCAGCAGGGCTCCTGCTTCATCTATTTTCGTCCCTAGAGAACTCGTTCCCTTATGGATTGCAATCGCTTCATTCACCTTGACTATGCAGCCAGGGCAATACCAGCAACAGCCATCAAGCTTTACGGCAGTTAGTAACTTCCTAAACGTTGCATTAGTTAGGCCTGCATCCTCCATATCCGACGTCTCCCTGCAGTAATCACATACCAAACTCATGGTTGTTGTTGTTGTGGGGGGGGGGTGCAGACTGTGTATAGATCTACACCTATTTCAAAGAAAATAAAGAGAGAAAAAAGTACTTAGCTACTCTCTGTTGCCTATGGAGTTGTCGTCTGCGACTGCGTACACTGTATCTCCCTGTGAATGGTGTATTGTAGGCACAGTTTCAGTCCTTGAGCAAGCACACAATCAACATAAAATAAAATTTAAAGTCTCTGTGGCACCTATGACACGACTTGGTTTCAGCTGGCACGGTGCCTTTCCAGCTTGCTTGCTAGTGAGCGCTCACTTTAAGTTATTTACAACTTCAGCGGTCACTGATGACACTATGAACTATCACTGTGTACACTGTATCTCCCTGTGAGTGGTGTATTATAAACACAGATTCAGTCCTTGAGCAAGCACACAAACAAAATAAAATTTAAAGTCTCTGTGGCACCTATGACACGAATAGGCTGGCAGTTGTCCTTACCAGCTCGATTGCCAATATGTATTCACTTTAAGTTATTATAGTCTCTTCTGCATTCACTGATGACAACTATGAACTGATTTAACTGAAGGCACAGTACTACACTCCCTGGTTGGCCTTTATCACAGCCGTGACCACAACACCCTAAAAAATAAAATAAAATAAAAGCTTTGTCATGTGGCAGTGATTGTGTGGTTATAGGCCTGTGACCCTGGCTGTACCTCCAACTCGGTGGAAATTGAGTTTTCAAAAATACAATCGTGTCTAGCATGAAAAGTCCGACATCGATTTACACTTTCACCTCACTAAGACGATCTTGACGAACTTATGTAATCACTGTCCAATTTCTGCCGCTCTACATCGAAGGCCCGGATGCCGAACACGCTTTGTTACAGAGACGCAACACGACCCGCCCGCCCGCTTTAGTAAGCCCTTTTTTCACGCTTGTAACCACGCTGCCTTCCTAGCACCAAGCTGCATTGTACATCCAATACAACATGTATATAGAGAGCACATTGTGAGTTTCCTTTCTCCACCCCATCCTGAGTGTGAACCAAACATCTTGAACCCCACATTACCGTAATCGCTTTTCGAATGGTTTTCAGTTGTGGGATTATGATTCTAATGAAAGGATAGAATATTATTGTATTACAGTACAACAGATTTTTTAACTAAAAACCATTCGAAAAGCGATTACGGTAAAATCTTTTGAACAACGAAAGAAAGCGAAAGTCAGTTTTCGTCATGATTTTATCCCACTTTCCACTGTAATATGTACGTCATTTCAGCCAAAATATTACATTTCCATATTTATTTCTGAGAATATATTCATTCAGTCACAGTTAAGCTAAAATATACTTGTGATGTAATATTTTAATGAAAATACGGTATCGTAGTTTTCTTTTGTTTCAAATTTAATTAACAAAAATTGATGTTTCAAATGTAATGAACCAAAATTTATGTACAGTATCTATAAATAAACTTTAAAAAATGAATACTTCATGTTTTACATCGTCCTGTGCATACCATACCATGCATTTGGCAACTTCGGGCTTGCTATGATGACGCAAGAGATCTGCCCTGGCAACTGTACCGACACTCACAGCCGGTGGTGCGTTGGTGCATCGTTTCCATTGTTTACTGGTAGTGACTGGTAAATATTTTTCAACCTAACGAAACTATTACCCATTTAGAGGTCGACCCCCAATTTTTTGACAAATAATTTGGTCTTAAAAACTCGTACACACAGGTATATACGGTAAATAAGGACATGGGGGCTAGGGTTTTTTTTAGGGGAGTGGGGGGCAGCAATAGTACACAGATTTTTAACATCCATGGGTATCTGTTACCTAACCCCCGCATATGTTAAGAGCCGACTGTACTACTCTTGTACAGAGCCTGTGTTAATATACGTAGTCATCCCCCACGCCCTCGAGACAAGCTACCAAACTTCCTGTCTTTACGTCCTCCTACTATAAATATTCTACCTATATGTAATATCCTCTTCTGGTGAGTTTTGTCTCATTATATATATATATATATATATATATATATATATTAAGAACCAATGTACATTACTCATTATATAGTTTATATAGTTTATATAATGAATCTGCAAACATAATGGAATGCAATTAAAAATACAATATTTAAGACAGGGGTTCTCAACCAGGGGGAATTTCCCCCCTCAGGTTTTCAGGGAGAAAACTGATACTAATATGGAAAAAATAAAGGATTTTCAGTATTATATGCATATTATTTGGAATGCACTTTTTGAGGCAGACAATCTTGGAAAGGAGGGGGGAATGACATTCTGGCATATGGTGAAAGGGGTGCATGGGGCAAACAAGGTTGAGAACCACTGATTTAAGACAACTAACATTACTTCTGATAGGATATCAAGGTAGTGAAGTCCCCACCACAAGACATTTGTTATCAACACTACCTTTGAAACAGCTTCTTATTTGTTAAATATAAGATGTTTTCATCGTTCCCGTCTTTTTCACTGCACCCATAGTACCCGCACAATATAATGACGTTCACACTCACCTCCCAATAATAAACACTGGAGTGGCGTCTGGTGCAACTACCCGGTCCACTGTGTTGTTACTAACTAGGATCTCCCAGACAGGAGTCCACCTAAGAACTATTATAAAGAACGTAAACTATCTTGTATTTTCTTTAGGAATCCAACACTAGCGCTATCTATTGGACAAGCCAGAAATAATAGAGAATGGTCTTTGGGGGTGCTTGAGAAAATTCTTTATATTTTACTAGTAACTCAAATATTTCACGCCGATTTGACAAAAGGTTATTATTCAATCCCTCTAGGTTTGCAAAGTTTTAACCTGTTTATTTATAAAACTGTATTTATTTTTCTATTTACATTATGTACTATATTTATTCCTATTTTTCATTATCATTTATTTTTATCTATAAATATTGGGACCCTGGTCCCTGTTTACCTTGATTTTAATCCGGCCCTGGCGAAGTAGAGAAGGTTTGAAAATATTATGAGTGAGAGGAACTTGAACATTTTTATTTTGTGCAAAACAAAGCCAAAGAAGTGTATTAAAAGTTGGGGGTGGACTTTCTGGAAGAAACAACAGCATGCGTGAATGGCCAGAACTTGGTGAAGAGTGAATTTTAGGAAGAACGTGTTGCTTATGGGTAATGGTGTTATCTTGTTTGAAGTGATAAGGCTGGACTAGTTTTGAAACCTTTTGTACGGGAAATTGCCTTAATGTAATATTTCTTTATTACAGTTAGAATTCACAAACAAAGGCGAGATGATGTGCATGTGTATTTGCTCTTACTCCAACCACCTTGCATTAAGCAGGAAAAAGGCTCGAGAGATAAAACAGTTGTCATCTACACAATAATCTGCCCTTGCCCAGGGAAGAACTATGTAACCATGGATCTTTATAGTTAGCTAGAATATCTTGTTTGGAATGTGGGGGTCAAATTCAAATACTGTATGCAAATTATTGATCAACTCTTCACAAAAATTTTTGTGGTCTTGATTCAATGACACAAAAACACAGATGTCCATTGAGATGTGAGCATATTTTTTATAAGGAGTTTTAGGAATATACAAGTTAATTTATGAGTCAGCAGGCCCTTACTTCAAGTCCCACATCTGGAAGTGCTCTAACAATAATGTCTTCCTTTTTTCAATTCAGGCGGTCGCACCATTTCCGTGTCTCTAATGGGGTATGCTTACATGCCCTGGCTTGCCTTCCTCTGTCTGGTGATCATCTACCTCCTACTTTTCGTCTCTTGGACATATAGGGTGTGGAAGCGAGATGGTGACCCCCAAAAGAACATCATGATAAGAGCTGCCTACAGTATAATCGAAACATTTGCAGTGACAGTCAGTCTAAAGAAGATGGTACTTACTAGTCTTTGCTTCATGGGCCTCTGTGTAGCATATGTCATCCAGAATAATAATGAACTGGTGATGTGGATAATGTTTTGTGTACCCATTGTAGTGCAGATTCTGGGCCTGATACTGGTGTTACCCTGTCGATACATCTATGAACAGGCCTATAAAGTACTAGTTTTAAGCATCTTGCCTAGTAAACAAGTAATAGATGAGGATATAGAAAATTAACTGTGAACTTAAAGGCTAATTACTGTAAGAACTGTACTTCAAACCTGTGCATATAATTTTATTTGAATTTCATGTATGATTATTGCCTTTTGTCTCATTTGTTCATATATATACCTTTGCTCCTTGTTATAACCCCAGTTGGCACCACCCACCATGTAATGTTATCATTCAGATTTAACTGTTACTTAGTTCATGACAAAACCAGGCCAAGGTGCAAATAATTACAAGGGAAATTACGACGGGATGACAGAAGAGACGAGGGGTATCAACTGGCCTGACTCACTACGGCATAAGAACGCAGACACTATGCTGAATATCATAGTAAAATGAACCATTTGATCGATACATATTTACCCAAGACCAAACCCAGTGCCTCTAGGAATACTAGGACACCCCTACACATGAACCATACAGCGGTCGACAAAGTTGAGAAAACCCAGAAATTCAAGGAGTGGGTGAGGTCAAACGATGAGCAGGACACGAGTATGCATGCAAGAGTCGGGAACCAAGCACAGTCAGTGTGTAGAAGGGCTGAAAAGGAGTTCCAGAGGCTGGTTGCAAGTGAGGCCAAGTCAAACCCAAAGGCATTTTACCGCTATGCAAAGTCGAAATTAAAAACGTGAGTAGGAGTATCGGACCTGAGGCTTGAAGATGGTAGTTACGCAGATTCCGACCAGGACAAAGATGAGGCATTGAACAGTTTCTTTTCCTCGGCGTTCAAAAGAAAAAAAATGCGATCAACCTTTCTGCGTTTGAGGACAGACGGTTCAACACAGCACTGACCCACATTGTGTTCACGAAAGAGGTTATAAGAAATAAACTGTCAAAGCTAAAGATTCATGACTTCCCGGCCATGGCATGGTGCATTCCAGAGTGCTAAGAGTTGTGCAACGAGCTTGCTGAGCCCCTGAAGATCCTGTTCTGTAAATGCCTGGATGTGCAAAAGGTCCCCAGTGATTGGAAAATGGCTATGTGAGTCCTATCTTCAAGAAGGGCGATCGTCACTCCATGAATAACTATAGACCAGTGAGCCTGACCAGCATAGTATTTGTAACATCTGCTACGAAACAACGTTGTAAATGATTGCCAACACGGTTTTATGGCAGGGCGCTCCTGCTTAACACAATTACTCAAGGTATTGGATGTTTGGACCCAAATTCTGGAACAGGTGGTAACATTGACAAAATAGACCTAGATTTTGCCAAGGCTTTCGACAGCATACCACATGAAAGGCTGAAAATTGAACTGTAAGGGTACGGGATTGGGGGAAATGTTCTAGCATGGATCGGAGACTTTCTCCACGACCGCAAGCAGTGTGTAGTGATTAATGGCACAAAATCATCATGTGCACCCGTCACAGGTGGGGTACCACAGTGCAGTGTATTGGGCCGCCGCTGTTGTTTGTTTGCTTCATAAATGACATGCCTGATACTGTGCATTCCTCCATACAAATGTTTGCAGATGACGCCAAGATACTTCGGGAAATTAAGAACCAAGAAGACTGTGAAGGGCTGCAGAAGGATCTCTGTGAGCTGCAAGAATGGTCGAAGAAATGGCTACTAATGTTCAATGTCACGATGTGTAAGAGGCTACTCCTGGGACGTACCAATGGTAAGGAGGCATATCATATGTCCCAACGGGACAAAGTAACCGCATTAATCGAGTCTGAATGTGAAAAGGACCTTAGCGTGTATGTTGACAATGAGCTGAAGTTCTCGGGCCATTGCTGGAAGGTGAACCAGACAACTAAATTATTAGGTCTTATAAGAAGGTTGTTCACATATGTAGACGGTCTGTCCCTCGTAACTATCTTCAAGAGTGAGGTGCTTCCCTGAATGGAGTACTGGTCCCCGAGATATGCTAAAGACTGCCAGTTGATTGGAAATGTCCAAAGGAGGGCCACCAGACTGGTGCTTGCACTTCGGCACCTCAGCTACCCTGAGAGATTAGAGCTCCTGAGATTGCCAAGCTTATACTGTACTACAAACAGGCAAGGAGGGACCTAATTGAGGTGTTTAAACATCTCAAAGGGCACTACTCAGTCAAGTGCCTTTAACTGGAGCTGGCGGATGCTCGCCCCACAAGGGGTCACAACTCAAAGTTGAATAAGTCACAAGCCCACAAAACTTTGAGGGGTAACTTTTTCGGAGTGAGAGATGTGAACTCATGGAACAATATGCCAGAGTGTGTTGTGACGGCACCGAGTGTGAGCTCTTTCAAGACCAGGTTCAGATACATTCAGGAGCCAGTACATGCCCAGTACTTGCCAACAGTGCGTAACAGATGTGATTGATCGCCCAAGCAGCTAACAAGCCGGTCGGTGGTGAAGAGGATAAAAGTAAAAGTAAAAAGAAAAGCATGAAATATTATATGGTTGGGGAAACTACAGTATAAACACTGCTTGTCCTACAAGCATTATTTCATGGATCATAATGCCCAGCATACATCTGACTGGTTATTTGTTACATTGTCTGATATCTGATAAGTAATGCCTGATGCAGTACAGTACTGTAATTCAATAACCATATAAGGGTAAGGACAAGGATTTTAAATACGTACAGTAAGTCCTCACTTAATGTCATGGTTCTGCTCCTGAAAACTGCTACGTTAACGGAATCAATTTTCCCCATAAGAAATATATAAAATACGGGAGTTATGTTCGCCAGCCTCCCCTTGCCCATAAAATACATTACATATACATAAATGCAATGGAATTTTTATATAAATTAGTATATATTATACATCCCAAAAGATAAATAAACTAAATCATTTTGTATTGTTCTCACTAATGGGCGGAGGTGGAGCGAGAGTGTGGTAGGCAGTGAAGAGGAGGGTGGGAGAGGAGAAGGGCAGGAGCGGAGAAGGGCGGCGAGTCACTGAGACCCAGAGGGTGGCTCCTCCTCCAGCTCTGACTGGGTGAGAGAGGGCGATGCACCATACAAAGTATCTCATGATGACGTTATACCAAATCGACGAGAAATTGTCCGAATCATGGGTATCTAAAGAGTAGCGACATTATAACGAAACAACGTTGTCGGAGGCAACGTTAAACGAGGACTTACTGTATTGATATATAATTACTGTCTGTACTCACCCCTGAAGATGTGAATTACACAAAAGCACACCTACAGTGATTTACTTGCATAATTACTGTACAGTACTGTACAGTAATGAGTTTTATACTACACTACTGTGGTAGTATCATATGGTGTCCATGGGATAGTCCCTTATGTGATTGTGTACAATATGCCAAAGAAACTAGACCAATCCAGTTATAATATTAATGACTCAGAGGAACTTATAATATTCTGACAAGGTTGTTTCTCCAGGACTCCAGGTAAACATATTTCTAGAACTTATGCATAATTTGTCTGTGTTTAATTAAAATTTATATAATGTACAGTATACTGTATTGTATACAGTAAGATACCATGAATGAATGAATGAATAATCAAGGCCAGCTGACCATCAAACACTGCTAATTGTAGCCCCCTGGTGCCTTGAAAGTCTGTGGTATAAAGTACAGCAATTGTTTTTAGACAACAAATTTAAGCTTAACTTTATTTCTCTTTAGAAAAGTCCTAGTTTAATATGGTTGCTTGATGGCATTCCTATATTCGCTTGAACTTTTATCTCTACCTATACTTACCTAGCGAGGAAAATTGTCAACCCTCACTTTACGCGGTCCCACATTCCGCGTTTCCACGTTTACAAGGTGCCCTGCCAGAACCCAGGAAGCTCACATTCCGCGGTGGGTGTACCCCTTTACACGGGTGAAGTATAATTTTTTTTATTTAGCTCATAAAATTCATACAAATTAATCCGGCCAGAATATAATTTACATTGCTGGAATTCTTACAATTTGATGATCATTTTGAATATAAACATCATAGATTTTGCATTAGACATACAAATTTTAGATATAATGTTTACTCTTGAGTAAATATGTTATCTTTTGTGCAAAATATATGACATTTATATTCAAAATATTCCTGGTCTTACAAGGAATCCAGCAATGTCAATTATATTATCCTAACTTTAGTCTGATTTATTATTTATTACTAAAAAGGTAAACAGTCTGGTATTCCCACACATTTATCTAGTAGGGACTGTTGGTGGGGGGTGGGGGGTAGGAGGGACCGGCGACCACCATCTGTTACCATGTGAAGAATATTTTTTTTTTATTAACTGAAGATTTTTATTTTAGCTCATAAAATTCATACAAATTACCCGGCCAGAATATAATTTACATTGCTGGAATTCTTACAATTTGATGATCATTTTGAATATAAACATCATATATTTTGCATTAGACATAAAATTTTTAGATATAATGTTTAGTCTGAGTAAATATGTTATCTTTTGTGCAAAATATATGACATTTATATTCAAAATATTCCTGGTCTTACAAGGAATCCAGCAATGTCAATTATATTATCCTAACTTTAATCTGAGGTATTATTTAATACTAAATGTTAAAATCTAGTTTTTTCACCCACTCTTTCTCTTGAAGGGAGGGTTGGTGGGAGGTGGGGGGGAGGGTTGGAACGGACTGACCATCTGGTGCTTGGAAGAGGGGGGAGGCAAGGTGGGGTACTTTGATTGACAGATAGTGTCGTGAAGAATATTTTTTTTTTTATTAACTGCAGATATTTGTTTTAGCTCATAAAATTCATACAAATTACCCGGCCAGAATACAATTTACATTGCTGGAATTCTTACAATTTGATGATCATTTTGAATATAAACATCATAGATTTTGCATTAGACATACAAATTTTAGATGTAATGTTAACTCTGAGTAAATATGTTATCTTTTGTGAAAAATATATGACATTTATATTCAAAATATTCCTGGTCTTACAAGGAATCCAGCAATGTCAATTATATTATCCTAACTTTAGTTTGAGGTATTATTTATTACTATACCTGGTTTTCCCCCCAAAATTTCTCAGAGGGAAGAGCCAGCGAGTGTAGTGTGAGAAGAGGGGGAGGGAGTTGAGTCCATTATTTGAATGGACATTAGCTTGGCGACTGTATTTCTCTATTTCTCTTAAGTATTAATTGTGTGCATGTACCATCATAAAATTAAGACTTTATTTTTACTAGAACATAGTTATTGTGTTGGAAAAAGTGGAGTTTGGGGGTTATTCACTTTACGCGTTTCTCACTTTCCGCGGTACCCTGTGGGTTACATTAACCGCGTAAAGTGAGGGTTGACTGTATTACGGTAATTATT